AATTTTTAAAAGTTTACTTATATTTAGCAAACTCTATCGTTATGTAAGATTAGTAATAGTCCATACTAAATAAAAGCTAAATAAATTGAGTACTTTTTTATTGTGAATACGGTTTTAAGTAAATTGGTCAACGTCGTGATTAAAATTCCTTGACCTGATTGATCAGATCTCATACATCTGCATAAAATTTTATTTTAAATACATATTCAAAATATAAAAAACTTGCTTTTATTTTTTAAAGATTATGCTTGTGATAAAACTACTAAGGGGTAAATCCAAAGAATATTTTTAAAAAATTATAATAAAAACTTTATGGGCACTACATTTTAATCGCAAGAAGATTAAAAAGAAAGAAATGTAAGTTTTAGTTTTAAAAAACAATGTTCATGAAACAAATTTGGTAATCTTGCTTTTAGAGGATGACCAAAACAATTGTTTCAGCATTGATTAATTTGTTAAACGAATTTGATATATGGGAGGTAGCAGTAATGATTATTTGTGACACAACAAACATAGATACTATAGCAAAAGGTGGTGTTTTAGCATATATAGAAAAAGAGTTTATATCCAGGAATTTGGATGTTGCATAATATATTGGTTGCTAGCATCATCTGTTTGATTTGTAATTGAAGCATGTCATGGATAAAATTTTGGAGGCAAAACATTATCAATGTAAATTGTTTTTTTTTTTTTTGTTAATGAACTAACACAAAATAATGATGTCTAGGTTAAAAACTTCATTTAGTTAACGTTAATCATCATTATACAAGATTTTTCTAAAACTAATTTTAAGGCTCTTCCAAATATTAGTAACTCTAAATGGAATTCAAGAGGAATTACAGCATTACTGGCATTTATTCTATTGAAAAAACTTCGGCAGTAACTGCAACGAGCATGAAATTTTAGTATTGGTGAATGGATGAGTATCTGGTTTTTCAATCACTATTATAATACAAAAAAAACTATGAAGTTTTATTAGATTCAGTTAATCAGTATGCAAAAGCAAAAAAATCTTTTTTAAGACGATGGTGTAATTAAGAAACTGTTTTAAACACTGCAAGATCCAATATTTGTGCACAAATATTGGATCTTGCAGTGTTTATTACAGTTTCTTAATTACACCATTGTCTTAAAAAAGATTTTTTTGCTTTTGCGTACTGATTAACTGAATCTAATAAAACTTCATAGTTTTTTTTGTAGTAAAAAGTGCAAGAAATTATGGTTTATGCAAAAACTGAAAAAGCAATCAATAAAAAACTAATTTTTTGAATTAAAATTTAAAAGTTATACTGGTACTAACATTTTAAGTATTTAGAATTTATTAGCAATACATGACTATATATTGAAAAGCCCTAAAATCATTAAAAACATTTTTTTGCTTTTTGGAAAACGTTTTTTAATTTTTTTCAAATTACAATTAAGATATTTTTTTATTTTTAGTCTTTTTACTCATTGTGTCGCCAATACCCTTAAAACACAATAAAGAAAATGTTGAATATAAATGATATACCGTAATATAAAATGAAAATAAATTTTTACTAATAACCCTGTAAGAAACATCTGTTGCTTATTCTTTATTTCTAAATTGCTAATAAAAATTATGTTTTTTTATTAGTTCTACATTTCAATGTATTAAACAAAAATTAAATGCGCAACAAAAGATGACCTTGCCTGCTAAAAGGTTATAAAATTTTTTCACACGTCAATAGTTGTCAAGAATAAAAAAAAAAAAAGTTTCTCACTTTTTTATTTGATAACGAGAAATACGTTAAAAGTAATAATATTAGAATTTAAATTTGATACCTCATGCCTGATTGCGAGATATTTAAAGTAGCAAGCTCTCTATAAATATAAACAAGCAATATATAAACTTTATTGCAACTAACATAAAAATATTGTGAGTAAATAAAAAATAAAACAGTTTTATAACTAATTTAAACTCAGTGTGATATAGCGTGACAGGTGTCTAAAATTACAAGTTATAAAAGCATATACAAACTTAAATATACAAATTATAACAATCTATATATAAATTTAGCTGTAACTAGCCTAAACAAATACCCATAAAAAAAATGCAAGCAAACATTTTACAACTGATTTATTTCTCAACTGATGAAACTTACGGTGTGATATTGCATGCCACGTGTCTAAAGTTGCAAATTATAAAAACATATAAACTAGGTATATGTAAACATAGCTGCAACTAACCTAAATAATGATACCAATCAAAAGTAATGTTAACATTTTTAATTTTACAACTGATTTAAATTTATATTGTAATTTACTACATGTCACGTCTTAAGTAAAAAATTATACAAGAATATATACAAGTCATATAGCCTATATTATAGAAATAATTGTTCAACTAACCTTTTAGTTTATCATATAAAAAAATTAAAAATATACTCAATGCTTTATATAGAAAATTTAAAATTAAAATGATAAATTTTGCGGTACCATAAAATATAAATGTTTGTAGAGAAAAAAATTATTAAAGACCGAACAATCTTTATTGGTTTAATTATTTTGTGTATATATATATATATATATATATATATATATATATATATATATATATATATATATATATATGTATATATATATATATATATATATATATATATATATATATATATATATATAATAAGATTAAAAATAACATTTTTTAGGTAAAATAAACATTATAGTTCGATAATCTGTTTCGATCATTTATTGGCAATTTTTCTTAATTTTAAGCTCGTTTTTGGTCGGAATTCTAGAATTTTTGGTGAAAATTGATAAAATTATTGTATTTTGACATTTATTTATAGTTAATATACGTCGGAACCGATTAGAACTAGGACCTATAGTGTGAAGGCACTTTTTCAAAAGAATTTAACCAAGTTCATGTTAACGCCGATGAGCGAAATTGATCTAAAGACTCAAAATGGTGTTCTTTAAACTCACTATTAGAGGAAGTAAAAAAGTTTCAAAAATTATATAAAAAATAGCAAAGTTTTTTTAAATATTATAAGAACCTAAAGCAAAAAAAAATGTTATCACAGCGAAAGCTCTTGTTTGGACATAATATGCTGATAAAATCATGCTAATCCCAAATAAAAGAATTCGAATAATTTGTTAATTGTCATATCTACACCAATCACAATTTACTTTTTTAAATATTTTTTACGGTCTTTTTAATTCAAAAAATTGGCAAATGTAGTTCTTCCTTTTTTTTCTCACAGATTTATAACTTTTACTAAGCTATTTCAATTTCAGTTTCTTGGGTGATGCTAACTTTTTTCTTTTAAAAAAGATTTGATTTTTAATTAAGTTTCATTCTATGTTTTCGAACCACCTTCAACTAATCCATCAAACCTGAAGTTGTTGCGCCTACTTCTATCTTCGGCTTATCATTTGTTGCTTTATTAATAATGTAGCTAGGTACTTAGATAGATAATATTCAGGTGAAACTCTTGGTAGAGAAACTTTTCTCAGTAAAGCGGGACGGGATAAATAACGCATGTAATTGCTGTCAAGTATTTCTGCCTCGTCCTGGCAAAACCGGTCAAAATTCTTCATATAATCAGCCCCTTACTTATGATTCTATTCTCGATAACCTAAAGTCTCTTACTAGTCTTCGTCATGAGACTTGTTGTTTTCAGTGGGCTGGTTTTCTAACGAGGGCCGTTTTATTACAGACAAGATTTAAAAGCGCGTCGAATACACTGGAAAAAAAATTGTGTAGAAATGCTACACAAATTTGTGTTATGAGGTACACAATAAATGTGTAGTTACATATTTCTACACAAAATTGTGTGAAAAGTATACACATTGATTGTATAGCTTGCACACATTTTTGTGTATACAAACTACACATTATAGTGTGTACTTTAGTTCAAAAAATGTGTAGTTTTCACACATTGTTTTTGTGCATAGTAGCACATTTTTTGTGTTATTTATTACACATTTTTGGTGTTTTTCTTCTACTCTGTATTATAACTACATAATAAATGTATTTGAAGTAAAATTGCAATTAACTGGTCTACATGTATAATTAAATACAAAGCAAACGTCATTTTGCAATACAAAGCAGAATTTTTCCCTCTTGAGTGCTATAGTCAAAACAATATCTGCAAAAATTCAAATATACAAGTCTTTATTCTAAAATATTCAAATAACATAATAGCTTATGTGTGATTGAAATAATTCTTCATCAAATAGGCTATACATCAACACAAACTAACCAAAATAGTATATAATAATTTCACATTTAGCACCGAAGAGGTAAAAAAAATTGAAAATGTGTTTATGAGCATATGAAATGATGTAAAAGTATACAATCATATACCATACACATTCAAGTGCGTGTATGTGTAATGCCTATACATGTTTGCAAAATACTCAATTCTTTAAGCACACAACACATTATTGCTAAACACTGCATCATCTTAATATGCATAAACATGTCAATAAACAAATTATTAAGCACATTGAAAGCACAATATGAATTCAAATGCAACAATGTACAAAAAACACTAAAAATGAATTACTTAGTAATTTAAAAAAATGACAGTTAGCACCAATTGTCATTTTGACTAGACATTGTCTAACTGCATTACATCTTTATCATTACATCTTTCACTGAGCATAAAATATAAGCACATTGAAAGGAACTATATAATATTGCACGCTATGAATTCATAGTGTACAATTTCTAGTGTACAAGAAACACAAAAAATGAAGTTAACAATAAGAGCTATGTAAAATCTTTTCCATATTAGCCTATTAATAACCAGGAGTGCATTAACATACTCCTGTTATGACTCATATCACCTAATTGCAATAATTTTTTGAAGTTCATAAAAATAAAGTGGTTATGACACCGTACTTAAACCTTGTGATAAAAAAACTAAGCAATTTTTATGATACAGACAAATCGTTAAGTAACGTAGTTGCTTTGGCAGAGAGTTTGCTTTTCATTTCAAACATATATACCTCAAGAAAATTATAAAATGACATAAGCTGAGATGGATATCTGACATTAAAAACAAAAAACGTTGAAAATAAATCTGAAAGAGCATTGGCAGCTTTCGATGGCTTCACTAACAAGGCACGACCATCACAGATAATTTAATAGAATGCTTCCTCAGTGGCACCCGTTTTTAAAATGTACAACTGAAACCTTTCGAGCTTTTTGTTCTCTTGCTGGCAAGATTCCAAGTATGCTTCCAAACTATCACCGATCTGGTAAAAAAAGATTAACAAATAATGTTTTGAATCCTACTTTAAGAAAAACCAATTAGTGGTTTTTATAAAATTGATAGCAAATAAGCTAAAACCATTGTTTTAGTTTATCATATAAAATGCATTTAAACTATTATTATTATTACTACATGCAAACGATAATATACAATGATCATTAACATCGACTTACTTTTATCTCGTCGATGAAATATTGGCGGGCATTTTTAGCTGATGTGCAATGCTTTCCCATGGTAGGTAGCATGTCCAGCAAACATAGCATCGCATTGTGACTCGTTGCATCTAATAAAAAATAAATAGGTTTTTTTTACATACTTTTACAATAATTTAAAGTGCTTACACACAAGTACAATCCTGAATAATTAAATGTTGTACCTGCGGTGAAATTTTCAAAGTTCTGCGTTAATCAAGGGATTTGCCTTGACCAACACAGTAACGAAGCACTTTGAGAGCGAGGTTGCTTTCGAAAAACGAAGCACTTTGAGAGCGAGGTTGCTTTCGAAAAACGAAGCAGTTTGAGATCGAGGTTGCTTTCAAAAAACGAAGCAGTTTGAGAGCGAGGTTGCTTTCAAAAAACGAAGCAGTTTGAGAGTGAGGTTGCTTTCAAAAAACAAAGCAGTTTGAGAGCGAGGTTGCTTTCAAAAAACGAAGCAGTTTGAGAGCGAGGTTGCTTTTAAAAAACAAAGCAGTTTGAGAGCGAGGTTGCTTTCAAAGTATGCTGCTGGATCTTCTCTTGGACTAGCAGCCATATTTTTGAAATCTTGTTGTACCTTAAAATCAAATGATTGATTATTTTACAGAAACCAACAGTTGAAACTGTTTTTGTTTATATGAAACTAGTTTCGCTTATATGTATGCAGACAAATAGTAAAATGAACATTAATATATATCAACACTAAGCATTCTTTTAGTGCTTTTATTAGGCGACAATAATGAAAGTTGTATGTAGGATTTTGCATAGCTATAATAGAATACTTGAAATAAATGTAAAAAGAAATTCTTCGAAAGAAACGAAAATAATTTTGGATATTATTAAGTTTATTTATTATTTTATTGGGTGTATATCTCGAAAATTAAGCTATGTATGAGTTATTTTTTGCTTTTCAATGTTCTTGAACACAGAAACTTACTAAGCCAGGCACATCTCTAAAACGAGGGTATTTCTGAAGGATCTGTGCTATTGAAGGTCCAGCAGAACCTCCAACCCCTTTTATCCAACTCTGCCGATAACTCTGCACGTTTCAGCCATTAACGTATAGATTTTGTCTACGTTGGCCGATAATGGTACCAAATTCTAAAGCATGACCGTTTTAGTTCGGCATCCTCGCCAAACACCTCTATAAATTGGTCAGCCGCTTGAACCATACTATCATTGAATGCTGTACATAAAAATAAATGCAATAAAACAGGCTGATAAAATAGATCAAACGCTGCATATTTAGCTATAGATTTACTTAATAGATTAACAGCTGCACATGTATCTATAACTTACTCAAGTCTAATTTGTTCACTAACGCAATCGTACACTTAATTATAAGAAAACAATGACATACATAGTTTGTATCTTTGGCGATATTTTCGTTGCTGTTCAGGCAGTTGGCGTTGATTCTGCCTAAACCGGTTTTGTATAAAACCTGTCCCATCTGATGAGTAATAATGTTCCTTGATAAAAAAACAACAGTTTACTGCTTAAATTTGTATTGAATGTACAAAAACAACAATTTTGACTTACTTTTCAGATTCTGATGACAAAGTTGGTTATCATACAAGACTGTTATATAGAGCAAGTATGGCATATTCATATATACTCGGTTAAACACATAACAATAAAATGCATGCACATACATATACTTTTAGGCAATTATCAGTATTCAAATAAATACATAATCAGTATTCAAATAAATGCATTCTCACATATCCTTCGCCGAAACTTGATTTTTGGTTAGGAAAAGCTTCTATGATGCTTTTTGCCATCAGCACTTTCTTTTCTATTGGTAAATAACTAAACAAAAAATAAATTAAATGCTTTCTTGCACTACAATGTAAATAATTGTAAAAGGTAACACATCGAAAACAAATCATTCTACCATTTCGCACAAAACTATAACTCTAACTGATCTGCCAACCCATCATCAATTGTATTTAACATAACAATGATTAAAATGCACATTGTTTTAATTTATCCATTACTTTAATGATTAAATATTAGTTTTCTTATAATTTTTATCATTATTGTTATTGTTATTAAAATTATTACTATAAGCTTAACATTAAACAAGCTTGATTATTATTGTTAATACTTAATATTAGCATAATTGTTACCGTATTGTTATTTCCGCTATTATTGTCGAGTTTATCTATTTCTCAATTTGAGTTTAAACAAGCTAACATTATATAAAATGTAAAAATACATACTCTCCAAATAAGTCAATGAGATGACTACATGCTGCCTTGACCATTGCCAAACAAGCTTCACGTGCCATTACGGCTTTGTTACCCTCTTCTACTATCCACTTTTCTTTTGGATGCTTCTTTAATACCACAATAATTAAAACGTCTATAGATATTTAAAAATAATAATCATTATAGTTATAATATAAAAATAATAATCATTATAGTTTACTCAAATGCATTATGTATACACTATTTTTATTTTACACATCAAATTGATTTATAATATTTGAAGCAGAATTTTAGTGGCACCTTAAGATTCTTGCATGAGAACATACGTGTTTTGGCACATGTGTATTAATCCGTGATGCCGATTAATTTTTTTTTTTAATCGATTAATCGGCAACGCGGTATATTAATTAATCGATTAATAATCGATTAAAAACAAATGCCTATGACGTCTACGTTAATAAGAGTTAGGGGGTTTAAATGGTATGTACTTTATACTTGCCTATTCCAGCATACGCTGCAATACTCATATTTTAGATTTTGATAAAATTTATGCAATTTGGGAAAAAAATAACCAAAAACTAAAAAATTATTCGATTAAAGGTTTGGCCGATTATTCGGACAATTAATCAATTAAACATCAAACCCTTACTAAGTTGTATTCAAGTGTGCATGTATGTGAATGTGAATGTACACTTGCCCATACATACAAGCACACATATACAAATACACTTACAGTTACATATATACATTTTTGTAGTAACATATTTGAAATAGATTTTTACTATAAGATATAATACTGTAATATATGCCGTTATTACTTGAAATCACAGTAACAGGCACGTCCCTTGGTCGTTTACGCACAACTTGCTTGCTCGTGCTTGGCTGTTCCTCTTCCATGTCTTCCATTTGATGCACATCTGCAGCTGAAGTTATGCTAGTCATGCTGGTTTCTGGTGTAGAAGTCTGCAATGGTAGATAATATTGTTGCCAAGCTTCTGATAGCTTCATCAGCATTTAAAGCATAGACTATTGCACCTGGAATTAAATATTGCACAATTTCATCATCATCGATATCTGTACCATCATCCATTTTGAACAAAGCGTTATCAAAACCAAGCTTTTGGGCAGCTACATAAAGAAACTTTACATAGCCTAATAATAAAAAAGTGAAATGAACAAAATTGAAATTACAGAAATCGGATTCATAATTGTCAGACTTTTTAACACAAGCAGGATAATGAACTAAATTTAGGTGTCAATAGTTTTGTTGAAAATAATTCCCTGTACATTGTGTGGTGATTGAGTATAAGTTGATCTAAATATGAAATCATGCCATGCAATGTCTTAGGACACAAAATAATGTCTATAATCTCCATTAAAAGAGTGACCAACCGCCAATAAGTATTTTCACAGTCTATAAGATCTCCAAGTATTAAACCAATAAGTCTACTTAAACACAGATATTGAGCAGCACGCTGACCCAGAAGATTATCACCTGACTTCAATTTTTCTAAAGTTATACAAGACGGCTTATCTCTCTTTTCATGTGTGGCATAACAAAATGCTTTCAGTCAAGAATTGAGCTGATTACATATAAAAATTTTATCGACAATAATAAGCTGGTATAAAACTGATTTTAACACATAAGAAAAAACGCCTTCAAATATATCGTGCATAACATCCACACAATAGTTGTCAGTAACTTTAAAATAATGCAAATCATTAAAGGGTGATTGTCGCTTTAAACCAGTATTTCTTGTGTTGCAGTCTTGCACATCTTTTTCATGCTGTTCAGCAGTTCTTTGTTCAAAATCTCTGGCTCGGTGGTGATCTTGAATGCTTTCAACAGTTGCGCAACACAACCGACATATGCAACCAAAAGTAAAACTCTCTTGGAAACCTAACATTCCATGAGCACCTAAATTGTCAGCCAAAAACAAAACAGCAGTCCCCTTAACTGTCTGACATGCTTTACTGAGCACAATTTCAATACTCTTTATTTCTAATGTTTTAATATCCTTAATCATTTCTTCAAGAACTGGTTCATATCCACGCGCAGTTTTTGTATCTTCTGTATAAAAAAGATATACCAGATGAATATGCATGAGGCGGGAGTTTAAATAGGATGGCAAGTTCCGTATCATCATATAGACTGCACCTAGTTTGTGAATTTTTATTTTCGAGCCTAACGGATTAACAGTTTCAAAATCGTCGAAATATAAATGTAACTGTAAGGCATCCGAATTTTCTATAAGCAGTTGACATTCTTTGAAACGAGAAGCATCGCTAAAGTCACTTATAAAATTATTTGTGTTCCTTTGTTGTTTTTGTCATACATATAGATATGTATATATAGCATGTACACATATGTATAGTATGTATAGTATGTGTATAGTTATGATTATAGCTATGTATAGTATGTATATGTACATATAGCTATGTATAGTATGTACATATAGCTATGTATAGTATATATCATACATATAGCTATGAACAAATCTAATTGTCTGATGAATTGGTATATACTGGTATGTATTAGGAATAAGATATTGACATATTTTGCCAGTTTCCTTATCCAAACGGGATTCATAACGAACAGATATTGGACGTCCAACCGGCTCAACAAATTTTATATGATTTTTAAAATGTTTCAATTGCTGCTCAAAGTTTCCTACTTCTTTCAAAATTGGCTTAATACTGTCGATTTCTTAAATTACTGATTCAAGTTGAGTTTTGGTTGTGGATATATGAACTGCATCTAAATTATTTGCAACATTCTTTAATTTATCAGAAAACATTTGACACAGCCCCTCTAATAAATTTGTAAATCCCTCTTGTATAATATCTAAGCACCCATACTTAGCATAAACTTTAAACAGTAGCTGTCTTAGCTGTTTCGTAAAGCCGGTAACTTTATTTTTTTCAGGCTCTTCTACTTGCTCACTCATTTCATTTTCATCACACAGATTTTCTGGTTCATTATCAACTGTTTTTTGTTCCATGGACCTTGCTTTCTACGTAAATGAGTCGATAATGAGCTTAAGCTAACAAAATATAACCCTAACCCTAACCCTGACAGCCATCTTGTCCACAATGAAGTGCTACTTTATCATATTTAGCTAAGCTAAGTCTCAAGTGAAAATGTGTTAAGAAGTTCTTAATTTTAAAAGCATCAATACTTTTTCTACATACTCAGCAGTAATAGCCAATTGTTTCGTGTAGAAGAAACCTAGTTGTTTGCACCTTTTATTTGAGATGACCACTTATAAGAAAAGTTATGAATAACAATACTCAATGATTATTACCTTTGGTTTTCAATTCAGCCAAATTACTTCATACCACAGCTGCTTTTACCGTACCGTCTAGAGTCCAAACTTTCAACAATTTATTAGACATTAACAAGCAAATAACTATTTACAACTAGAAACACAAGATTATATTAATTAAATCATATTATAAGATGCATCAACAACAAGTTATATTAAAATAATACAGTAAAATCAATTAAAACCATAATTTCATACAAAATATAATAAGTTATTTAAAATATAGGTTAATAATAATAATTATTATTGTTATATACCACTAAAATAAAAGAAACTTAAAAACCATAGCTTAATAACAGGAAGTAATGTGTTCAGTAACAACAAATACATCAAACTGATAAACTTAAAAGCTACTTGCTTGTAATTGAATGAAAAGTTACAACAATTACGGACAAAATTTAAAATATGTCATTAAAGTACGTCATGCTAGTATTTATGCATTAAATTACAATAAAAATAAATTTATTTTCCTTATTACTCTATTTAGTGATTACAATTATAATTGCAATGTATAGAGTGATAATAGAGTTAAACTTCTTCTTAACAATTATTGCAACTATTAAACTAATTTGACAAAAATACAAATTTAAGCATTAATTTTAAATAAAATTATTAATTTTAAATAAAATTATTAATTTTAAATAAAATTATTAATTTTATTTAAAATTAATGCAACTATTAAACTAATTTGACAAAAATACAAATTAAAACATGACTTATCTAATGGTTTTGAAGTAATACGATGCACAATGAAAGTAAACAAAAATATTAGAAAGACTTGCTACTTATGACAGTATTCATTAGCAACACAAATTCTAATATCTGATTTAAAATGTAATTAAATATAAATTAGTATTTGACCAAGAGCTATTTTACAGTTTATATACTAACACTAATTATCGCTCATGCAAAAACATTACTAGAAATCAAATAAGTTTATATATTTAATTAGCATCAAATACAATGTATTACGCAAATATTTGAATAATCATTTACATTTGCCTTAGTTACATTTACACCATTGTATCTATTATATTTGTGCACCTATTAATGCAGCATGTATATTGAGTGAAAGTATATAAATGTGAATAAAGAACAGCAATTAAAAACAAAAGATTTAACTACTCTTTTATATTATAACACCAAGGTGTTATTTTTAAACATATTGTAACAAAAAATGCTTCTTACCGAAAAAAACAAAAGTATTTCTTTTCTTCTCTTTGTTCCAACTTCGAAATCAATTTCCCTCCAAAACGAAACCGCTAACACGCACGTGTCATTAAAATGGCGGCTACACAATATTGTGTTAATTCTACTTTGTGTGAAAATAAAACTACCCAAATTTTTGTGTATCAAAACTACGCGTTTATTTTTCCAGTGTATTCTCTGGACCTATTGTAAGTGCTGGGCACTTACAATAGGTCATGCTAAATGGCCTTGCTAAATCAATAACATCTCCATGAAAGTACTAAATCAAACTTCTCAATGAAACAAATATCAAAAAAAAATTCTTTTTTCACACCTCTTTTCTTACCAAATATAGTCAAAGCCGGTTTTCAATCATGGACCTCCAGTTCTGAAGCCTAAACTTTAACCAGTATAACACGGCTGTTTTTCGCTAAATCTAATTTAAACTGATTTTTATTTCTTACCTCAAAAGCTCTTTTTTATGGAATAGTTTTGTCTAATTATGATTTCTCAAATACACCTTTCTTTTTCTTTCGAACTTAAATTAAAAGATATTTTTTTTTAATAAAAAATATATTTCATATACCTTATTCATTTTCTAGTTTATGTAGATTTGTTTTTATTTGTTTTTTTTAATTTATCTTATTATATTTAATATTGTAAAGGGCTTCAAGATAAGGTTACATAATTTTCTAGAAGTCCTGCCTATCATCTTTTTAAGTTAATTTGTTCAGTAATAGTTATTTACTAGTATAAATAGATATATAAATACATACCTTGAATGCCGTGATAGAATAGTAATTTTCATAAATATTGCAATGACGTTCTAATAAAACTAAAGTTTACAACTAATTAAAATGAAATATTTTCACTCTTAACAAACTTTGTTAAAACCTCCAAACATTAGACAACTAAAATAAATGATAACTTGGTTACACAATTACATGATTATCAACGTGTTAAGACATCAATTAATTGCACAGACTGTCTCACTGTGATTCACAGAGTATTCTGTCTAACTGTGATTCACAGTGTATTCTGTCTCACTGTGATTCACAGAGTATTCTGTCTAACTGTGATTCACAGTGTATTCTGTCTCACTGTGATTAGCAGAGTATTCTGTCTAACTGTGATTCACAGAGTATTCTGTCTAACTGTGATTATTTAAAGTTTTTGGATACTGCTCTAAGCAAACGTATTAAAAACAAATCAAAAGTAAAAAGTTAAAGTTTACTGAGCTAACTCTTAATAAAAAAATTGCATTTTATAACTTTCCTGAATTCAACAAATCAAAAAGTTAGATTTTATTACTTTCCTAAATTCAACGAATCATAAAGTTACATTTTATAACTTTCCTCAATTCAACAAATTATAAAGTTACATTTTATAACTTTCCTCAATTCAACAAATCATAAAAATATATTTTCAACTCACTTTTATGTTTTAAAAAAAATATTTGACACACTATTAATTTCATTAATTAACTAATTTGTTGAAATTTTTTAAAAACTATTATTAATTTTTAATTAATTCTTGTTTAGTTGCTGTTAGAAGATTGAAACTACATTATATTACAACTTATGGTGATTTTAATCAACAAATCAATCATCTTTTCACAAACCATTTTGATTTGGTTACTGTGGATGAAATTGATTATAAAAACTCTCTAGAAAAAAATGAGTGGGAAGATTTTATTGAAAAACAAAACGGTTATGAAACAATAACATTTGATGAGGTGTTTGCACATGAAAAACCACTAATTTTGATTTCTGGTGTTGCCGGTATTGGAAAAACTTATTTTCTTGAAAAATGTATTTATCGTTGGGCTGAAGGACAAGTTTTAAAAAATGTAGATTTTTTTTTTTATTTCAAAATAAAAAAGTTAAATGATTTTCAGAACATTTCAAGTTTGAATGAACTAATAAAGAAGTTTTATGGAAATATATTGAAAGTTTCAGAAATTTCCAATCAATGGTCAGTTGCACTGATATTTGATGGATTAGATAAATTTGTTCACCTCGACAAATTTTTTAGTCATAAATTAGGTAAATATTCCGATATGCCATTAATCAATACATTAGAGGATGTACTTAGCATGAAAAGAATCAAGTGTATTTTTGCAGGAAGAGTTCAAGCTATAGCGAAGTTCTCAAGAACTAGCAAAGAAAGTAATAAAATAAGAAACATTAATATAATGGGATTGAGCTGTCATGGTATTAAATTCTACATGGAAACCACTTCACTAAGTAATACTCTAAAAAATGATTTGAATGAAATTTTGTCATCTTCAATTGAAGGAAAGTCATTACTCTCTGTTCCTCTTTATCTAAAAGCGGTATGCGAAGCTGTTATAAAATTGTTTCTTGTATCTGTAAAAACATTCACTGAACTCCAAATATTAATTTTGTATCACTTTATCCAAAATACCAAACCTGAAATCCCATTATTTGATAAACTAATGCAAAATAAAAATATTTTTTTAGAAATTTGCAAAGTTGCATTTGTTTTGATTAAAAAGAAAAGTTTTTATATGTTGCAAGAAGAAATCCACCATATCAATAACAAACACGGTTTTGAAACAATTGGTCTTATTGAAATTTCACAAGTTAACAAACAGTACGAATTCACTCATTCTATATTAATGAAATTGTGCGCATCTATTTATATGTATTTGAGTGTAAGTCCTCATATAGCACTTCAAGATATACTACTTCACGAATGTATACCTTCTGTATGTGGCTTGGCGTACAGCAGAGAAAAAGTATTTTTTAGTTTATTCAGAAACTTTGAAAAACCCGGTTTCGAAAAAAAGTCTTGGCTTCAAGATATCTTTCGTAAGTCAGATGATTCTTTTTACCTTAGAGCTAAGTATATATACATACATACATATATATATATATATATATATATATATATATATATATATATATATATATATATATATATATATATATATATATATATATATATATATGGATATATATATATATATATATATATATATATATATATATATATATATATATATATATATATATATATGTATATATATATATATACGCATATATATATATATATGCATATATATATATATATATATATATATATTATATATATATATACACATATATATAAATATATATATATATATATATATACATATATATATATATATATATATATTTATATATATATATATATATATATATATATATATATATATATATATATATATATATATATATATATATATATATATATATATATATATATATATATATATATATATATATATATATATGTATATATATATATATATATATATATAATATATATATATATATATATATATATATATATATATATATATATATATATATATATATATATATATATATATATATATATATTATTTACAGGGGCGGATCCAGCATTTTTTTGTCTTTGAGATTGCTAACTTCCAGACATGGAGCAAACTTCAAACTTTTAAATGTTTATACTTATGTCAAATAATGTTTTTTCAAAAAATTGCGATGATTGGAGGTTGGGAACAAAAAAGCCCCAAAATTTGCGCCTTCACTCCCCCAAACGTGAGAGCAACAAGTTGATGAAATAATGTTTATACTATTTTTAACTAGACTTATATTTATCGATAAAATTGAAACTTCATAGTAAAATAATTTAGCATTCAAAAACTATGACCATATAAAATTTGCAACCTCCTCAAATTGAAGGGGTTGCAAATTACACTTGGCGGATTTTGCTGATTTGTTAAAATAAAAGGTTTAATACGTCATCGTAGAAGTATTATATTATTCCCTTTATTAAAATTAGAAAGGAATTATGCCAGATAGAACTGAGATTTCATGACGAAATAGTACTTATTTTTAATACATAGATTACTTTATAACGATATTAAACATCTGATACAAGCAAGTACAACTTAAAGAAATAACATGATTGGGAGAGTTTTCTTCAGCAAGCTTTAAAAACGCCTTTAACTATTAATATGAAAACAATAACAATAAAAATTTTAAAATTTAAAAAATATATAAAAAGTTTTTAATATATACTTTTTTAATACAGATTTTATAATCAAGGTCAAAAAACATTTTTATAAAAAACACATACTTGCATACAATTGTTACTATACTAGGTTTCAATTTTTAATACTGTTGTAAATTCGTGCGCATTTCAATTCCACTAACTTGTTTTCGATTCCTTATAGATAAACAAACCTTAAAACACAATAAAGAAAACATTAAATATAAATGATATACCATAATATAAAATAAAAATAAATTTTTACTAATGACTCTATAAGAAACGTTTGTTGTTAATTCTTTATTTCTAAATTGCTAATAAAAGTTAAGTTATTTATTCTACATTTCGTTATATTGAAGAAAAATTAAATGCGCTACAGGAGATAACCTTACCTGATAGCTGAAAAGTTCTAAGATTTTTACACACAACAATGTTTATTATTATTCATCTTTTTGTTTAATAATATACACGTTAAAATTAGAAGTATCATAATAGTGTTAACATTATTTTTTGACATTATGAACTTAAACAAATTTTCTTAGAACTTAAACAAATTTTTGTCATAATAATGTCTCGGCCAATGTCACGTCTATTTTCAAAAACGGCACTTAACTAAATACAGGAAACTACCGGCCAGTATTGCTGACGTCAATTGCGTACAAGACTCAACCTTAGTTAACGAGTGGTTATCAAAGGCATTACAACAGGATTGAAAGTAGCCACTAGTGGCGCTGCTCGTTTTTGGCTCCATTCCTCTTTGTAATCTTCATAAATGATTTGTCGGCTTCATTACTCATTATACAAAGCTGCATGCATGAAAATGATTCGAACTGTATCAATCTTAATCATTGACAAAGCAATGGTCGCCTATTTGGCTCATGCATTTTAACGTTAAAGAATGTAAAGTAATGCATTCTGGCCGCGCATATAACAAATCAGCGTGTTAAGTTAAATGATCAAAATTTGTTATCAAAAAATAAAAAAAAAAGGACCAAATAGAGAACTGTGAGATACACCATATGCAACGGATTTGTTACTAGATTTTTAACCATTATTACTTATAGATTGTTTGCAATTTGAAAGATATGATCAAAACCGGTCATTTACAACATCACGAACATTGTAATATTTTAGTTTAAAAATCAAACTTTTTTGATCAACACTGTCAAAAGCATTTTTTAAATCAATAAAAAGAACACAAACAAACAACGCAAAACAAAACAACGCAAAGCAACACAAACAAAATTATTAAGAGCTTTTTAGACTTTCTTTAGTTATCGATGCGCAGCAAATACAATTATTTGATTGAAAATTAAATTGAAACTCGTATAAAAAGTTTAAAGTGCTTAGAAAGTTTAAACTCAAAAAAACAAAAGTTTTTTTTAAAATATACTAATGTTAGATAATAACACAAAAACATACTAATGTTAGATAATAGAGAAATATGTTTATAGTTATTGCATCAAAACAGCTTCAAGTTCTTATCACTTAATATAAATTACATAAAAAAAATCACTCATTAGATCTTTTAATCTTAACATTTTTGGAGTAGATTTTTAATAAAAATAGAGTTTTTGCGTTTTTTTATTAAACAATAATATTTCTTTTAAAATCAATGGCTTAAATAGACCTTTGAAGCTCTCATTAAAAGGGACATGGGATCTAAATTGGAGTATTAAATCTAAAATCCTTTATTTTCAGTAATAAAATTTTAGAAACAAGAGTTATCATTATTATATAAGAGTTTTTATTATTATAATACTATTGTTATCAATGTTATTATGACATCATCACAGTCATTTGAAAAATTTGTTTTTTTCTACAGTTTCGTTTGTTTCTGTTTTTTAAAAGAAGTTTTTTCATATTACTATAAAATTAATATTTTTATTTTTTGGGAATATTTTTTCTTATGTAGTAAAGGGGGCTTCAATAATCCCTTATCCTATGCACGCCACTGTTTATGGCAATGTAAAAAAAGGACACGGTCTGTTCTAAGTAAATTGAATTTTTGTTTTTTAAAAAAACAAGGTTTCTAAATTGAGCAAATAAAGCAGATTTTTCCATACATGGATACATGCATACACTCAGATGCATTTGAATTAAGAATGTTTTTAAATTTTTGAAATATTTATTGACACCGAAAATTTTTTAATGTTTCACAAATAATTTCATCTTTAGAGTTCAACGACAGAAGATTGTTTATTCGATGTCTTTATGAATCCCAAACCTCGTTTAATGACATTTTGAACGTATCTATGGAGAAAATAATAGGGTGGTATCAAAACCATTCCCTTGCAGAAATAATGGCAGAAAAATACTTTATAAAAAAAACTGTAGAACTTCAAAAACAAATGGATATGAAAGATGGATATGATATAAAAGTTCGCCTCAAGGGAATATTAAAGCAAATAGTAGAAGCAATACAAAATGTTAGTCGCTATAGCAACAAAATTAACGATAATGAAAATATTCTTAAAAAAGTAGAAAATATACAAAAAGATATTTTAGGAGAGAAACATGAGGACACACTTGCTACACAATTTTTGATAGCTATGTGTTTATATAATAAAAAAGTATTTAGTAACGCGGAAAATTTGTTTCGGGAAGTGGAAAACAGGCAAATAGAAATATTAGGAGATAGAAAAGAACCCTTAATAAAAACTAAATACATGATTGCAATGTGTTTATATAACAAAAATCAATTTAGTAATGCTGAGTATTTATTGAGGGAAGTAAAAAATATGCAAGAAGAAGTTTTTGGAACAAAAAACGAGGATACAATAAATACTAACTACTGGATTGCAATATGCTTGTTTGATAAAAGACAATTTGAAAATGCAGAAAAAATATTTAAAGAAGTAGAAGGTTTGCAAAACGAAATTTTTGGGGAAAAACATCAAAAAACTCTAAAAACTCGTTACTGGATTGCAATGTGTTTGTATGATAAAAAAAAGTTTGATGCTGCAGAAAAGTCTTTAAGAGAAGTTGAAAACATGCAGTATAAATATTTAGGAGAAAAACACGAAGATACATTGACTACTAAACATTGGATTGCAAGATGTTTATACGAAAAAAAAAAAATTGAAGAAGCAGAAAAACTCTTTAGAGAAGTGGAGATTTTGCGAAAAGAAGTTTTAGGAGAAACACACGTTGATACATTGAATACAAAACGCTGGATTGGAAGTTGTGTCAGTAAAAAATGAAAAAAAAAAAAAACTTCGATTACAAATAGAAATTAGATCAATGATTATTTTTAAATCAATGATTATTTTTAAATATTTTTTGAGTTTAAAATGTTATTATAGTAAAGTGATTGAAAATAGTTTAATTTATTTTAGAAATCGGCTAATTAGTTTTACTTTTATTTGTTATATTTAGTTTAATTTGTTTTTTCTATTTCAGTGTTTTATACAATTACTAATTTAGTGTTTAAAACGCGAAGGCAATCATTTTTTTATTGATGTTTACGATGCTGCCGTAATTTTTTTTTTGTATTAGTTTAAAATCGGTTATAGATAAATTGCATACTGTTTCTTTGCAAATTTAGTTGCATATAAACATAAACTTAGGGCTATGTGTTTTTTATTAATTTATATATATATATATATATATATATATATATATATATATATATATATATATATATATATATATATATATATATATATATATATATATATATATATATATATATATATATATATATATATATATATATATATGTTTTACTATGTTCATTGTATTTATAAAATATATATTGTTAATACGCTTTACTATGTTTATCTGTTTATATGCTTTGTTTATTTACTATGTACAAGGCACTAATCTTTTACCCCTAATGTTTCTAACTATTGTAATTTATATTTAGCTATCTTCACACATATCCAATTTTGGTCTTTTCGCTGATGAAAATAATCTTTTTTACACCCATTCTAATATAAAAATAGAAAAATAATTTTATAAAATATATAAAATATAAAATAATTTTATAAAATATGTAAAATATAAAATAATTTTATAAAATATATAAAATATAAAATAATTTTATAATATATAAAATATAAAATAATTTCATAAAATATATAAAATATAAAACAATTTTATAAAATATATAAAATATAAAATTATTTTAAAAAATATATAAAATATAAAATAATTTAAAAAAATATATAAAATATAAAATAATTTTATAAATTATATAAAATATAAATTAATTTTATAAAATATTATCAAAATAAGTTCTTTATCGTAAACTGTGAACTGGAGAACCAACTAGTTCAAATCAAACTCTCATTTTAAATCTAAAATCTCTCTTTAAATAATAGCAAAACTAAATTTACTTCATCGCTAATTCATTGAGTTCTAATGACTTGCTTCTTTTACTTTCTCAGCTAAGTCTAAATAACATTATAGTTAACCTAGCTTTACCTAAAATGTTAGATATATTATTTGATGATTATCAAAATTTAAAAATCATATTATGCTTATTGAAAATGAAGTTTCAAACAATTGTCATTATCCAATAAACAAAATACCTAATAAAGAAAAAATTTAAAAAGATATATATACACACACACATATATATATATACATACACACACACATATATACTCCTAAAATTCATTAATATAAGAAAATTAAAAAATTAAAAAAAACTTCTAAAAATAAGTTATGACAACAAAGTAACGAAACTCTAGGTTAGCAAAACTTTTACATTTTGCAAGTGGGTGGGGCAAAACGGGACAGTTAAAAAGCAGCAGATATTCGTCAATTTTAAAGCTTTAAAAATGATGAAAAATGAAGGCTATCTATCGCGTAAATATGTTTTATTTTTTATTTTTATTTATTTATTTATTTATTTTGTCATAAAATGAATAATATTTTACAATGTTTTTTTACAACATAAAAATTATAAGATTAAAGTTTCGACCGGAGCTGGCAGAAGACATGATCTTATCATCCAGCCCTGTTAATATAACTAAAAAATTCAGCCGATAAAAATGGAAAAGGAAAAAAGAAACTAAAGCAAGAACTGATTTTAAGAAGAAAAGAACTTAAAAATCAAATTATTATTTACAGAAAGAGAAAAAAAATAATTATTATTATTTCTTCTCATTATTATTATTTTTTTTAATTCTCTATTTTATTCTACTTTTATTTTTATTATACACGCACGCACACACACATACGCACACGTACACACAAATATATGTCCGTTCACATATACATACAAATCAAATAAATCAGTATTACATTCCATCTACAAATTGCGTAAGATATAATAAATATTGCATTTACAAATTACGTTATTATTGTAAAATAAAATAATATCGTACATGTTCTAAGTACCATACAATATAATTGTGATGTTGAGTCAATTTATAAGACATTAAATAACTAAGATTACCAAAAGTTTTTAATAATACGATAGTAATTGCTTTGTGTCAAAACCAAATAAGTGTTGTTTTGTTGCACGTTTAAAATGTTGAGTTGAATTTAAAGTTTTTATATTACTTGTTAAAAGCAAGTTCCATAACCGCGGCCCTCGGCAAGATATCGAAAAATAAGCTTGTTTTGATAATGTTTTTGGTATAATAAAATTATTTGTTGAATATTTAGTTTCGTATTTGTGGTTTAAAGAAAAAAAATAAGTTTGGAAAATGCTTGGTAGCATACCATTTTTAAACTTAAACATGAAAATAAGTATATTAAGAATATTTATTTCATAGACATTAGGCACTCCAATTTCTCTTAGTAGTGGTCTGGCACTAGCGTATTTATTTGCATTTAATATCAAGCGAATTGCTCGTTTTTGTATTTTGTAGATCATATTTAACTTTGAAGGATAAGTACTTGCCCAGATAATGTTGTAGTAGCTGATGCAGCTATGAATAAATGCAAAATAAATATTTTTTAAACAGTTTGTGTTTAGGAGATGTTTTGTTTTATACATAATACCAATAATTTTTGATATCTTGTTTTCTATTACTTTGATATGATTACTCCAGCTAAGATGTTCATTAAGAATTACGCCTAAAAATTTAATTGAGTATTCTCGTTTAAGTTTAGTTTTATCAATTAGTAAATGTTCAGACATTAAATCAATTAGTAGCTGTTCTAATTCTAAGTTTCTGTTTACTCACAACTAAAACTGAGTTTCATCCCGTTTTGGATGATTGATCTTTCTTATATAATTTCCTACCTTTTTTGCTACATTAAACACAATTATTAATCGAAGTTAAGTTATAAAAATAAATATTAAAAGAATTTATTTGAGTTTATTGATAAAACTGATTTTATAAATAAAAACAAAATTTTAGATTAAAAATAAAATTATTAAACTGTAAGGAGCATTGCGAAATGTAGTAATATACTCAATTATATAAATATTTTTGTTGTCTCGAAATGTTGTTTCGATATGCCCCACAAAGTCAGTTTACTGAAATTGATACTGTTCAAAAAGTTCCAAATCTTTTTTTAAAACCAGATTCTAAAAAAGGATAAAAAATACTGTCTGAAAAATATAAACTTTTTTACGTATATTTTATAAATAAAGTAAATTCGCAAGAGTTCAAAATGAATTTTTCGTTGCTGTATCGCTTAAGAAAATAAACAAATTTTAATTTTCGCTTACTTACTAATGCCTTTTGGTACTTTTAAGACATTTTTTTTATTTCTAAAATTAATTTTTTTTCAATAATGAAGCACAAGAAATTAAAATGTTGTATAAAAACAATTTTTTGAAAAACAATTATTTGTAGTTAAGGCTCCAGGCATAATTGTCCCGTTTTGCCTCGCTCTACCGTATATATATTTTAATTTTTTTTGTTCTTTGTTACAATTAAGATACAAATACAAATATATATATACAAAAAAATTACAAGTGAAAGAATAAAGAATGCAGATACTCAAAGAAGACCATTAAATCTTTTTACAAAGAACCGCCATTAAAGAAATTAGAAAGAATTTTTAAACATATCATTTGTTGTGGTGTTTGCGACTTGCCTCAAATAAACTAATGACTTACAATAAAAAATGCATAAGTTCAAATGACTTGCATAAAGTCTTTTGAACCGCTGACACAAGTGAACAATAACAACTTTCAATTACTTTTTATTTAAAAAAAAATTTTCTATAGTTTTTTAAATATCACTTCAAGCGCCCAATAAACCTTATTTATTAAATAGAATCTCTGAAAAACTTATTATCAAATACATTAATAAAAGTTTTGGACTAAGATACTTCTAAATACGCTTGGTTGTTTAAGGGTAATTCCATGTCAAAACAACAACAAAAGTTCAAAAAAATAACCCACTATCTCTAAATGACTTAATTTTTGCAACAAAGATACCTAACTAGGCTAAAAAGAATTCCCCAAAGTTGTTTTAAACAAATCGGAATATTTTAGAAGTTATGCTCGTTTAAAATTTAAAACTTAGTAACATTTTTACTCATGATGCTCCCCTAGCAACGTCCTTAGTAACAAGTAAATGCTAATACATACGTTGTTACCTCAAATATATTGTTTTATAATTTGAAATTTTCCACATATTATTAGATGCTAAACTATAAAATTATACCAAGAAATAATATTTTTATTTATTTATTAATAAGTCAATAAGAGTAAATCGGCGTTTTTAATAAAATTGAAAAGTAAACATGCTTACTATAAAAAGAATTACAGAAAAGGTTGTGATCTATATATTTCCAAACTTCATAATCTTAAAGTATATATAAACATCTAAAAAAAACAAACAAAACTGAGCTGTTTTTTGACTTACTAATCTAAACAATTTAATTTTTATTTTTGATTGAAAGTATATTGAGATTGAGACAGAAGATTGATTGGTACTTATGTTTAGGCACAACCAGAAAGTAAGAATTCTTACTTATGTGTAAAACTACAATATGCATATTTAATAAACTCAATTAAAAATATTTAAATACTAAAAACAGGTGTTTTTACTCAAAGCTAGTCAAAAAATAAGAGGTATTTTCACTTAGGTATAAAACTGCAATATCCATGACATGTCCATAAATAAACTTTAAATATCAAAACGCATTAACTCTTTGAATTGTTTGTGCTTTTATGAATTGATAAATTTTTATACAAATTATTGAACTTCAAATATTCCTTTGTTTTTCTTTGGACTGTAAAACAAAACAAAATTAGGTAACATTTTTTAATAAATGCAAAATATTGTCATATACATATCATAGACATAAGCAAACTGTCGATTCGAAGTAATAATTGATAAAAGGAAGCAAGAAAATGTCTTTAAAATTCAAGGCCATGTTGGTGCATAAATTAAAATTCCATGTCAACTTTGCACATCATTTTGCATCTTGCAATTTTTAAACTTGTAGGTCAAGATA